GACAAATTTATTTATATTTCATGTTGATACAACGATAATCAATCAAACACAAAGCGTTTATAAACAACCAGACAAGAACACAGGAAAGAAAACATAAGTACACGATATATGAAAATCATATTATATATTAAAATATTCATAATATTAATAATAATAATAAAATTAATAATAATAATAATAATAATAGTAATATATTATCGCATGTCCGTAAAATTACATAAAAAAATATAGAAAATAATAAACTCGTAGCTTCTCTATTATATATATTTATATATATATATATATATTTTTTTTTTTTGTTTCATTCATTCAGTTTCACTCGCAGACACATACACTCTTCCCGGGAGATTAATTTCCTTGTTCCCTTTCATCCAAAAAAGCCTTCCTCTCCCCCTCTACCTCTCCATGCGAGCCTTGCATGCTGTCAAAAATAGCTTTCGTTATGAACCTCACCCTCTGTCTCACTCTCGGCCCTGTTCATTACGAAAAAAGAAAACACGTTTACAATTACGTATTCAGATTACGCGATGGATAATAGCGGTGATCGTTATTGATATAATATATTACCGATATTACATACAATAATTTTTTAGAATTTTCGTTCTATTTCAGTACGGTTCGGTATGCTGCGGTATGGTGAGATCCGTGTACATGTTACGCGTGTGTATATGCATATAATGATGTACATGATATAATGTCGTGTATCCTGCGGTTATGTGTATATAGTTCGTTCTCGGTACGACGGTAGGCGGTAGCGGATGGTCAGGCATATTGTATCGTAATATCAATCGTTGACGTTGCACGATGATGACGACGACGACGACCGGAACACGCAAACGCCGGTAAATTTGTGGAGAAACGAGCGACCACCAGAGGGAATCGGTTCGATCAGCTTTAGCCGGATCGTTTCGATCGCAACTCGCTGACGGAAGCGAATCCCTCCGTGCCTCTCGTCGGCCACGGCGCATCGAGTCGCAAATGGATTATTGCTGGTTCGGTTAACGTCGTTACGGGATTAATTATAGCTATCGTCGGAGCGGGGCGACCGATTCCCGTGGCCCGTCAATACGCGACATGCTTCGTCGTCGTTTCACCAAGCATCTTGCTTTAACCGTTCCCTATTCTCCCTCCCTTTCCTCTCTTTTTCTCTGATATACGCGAGCCTGTCCGAAAATCATCTGGACTCGCGAAACCGTAATGCCCAGACTGACTCGTCATCATCGAAGGGTGCGAGCGATTCCACCGTTTCTCTTTCTTTTCCGTTTATCCGCTCTACAATTCGTACCTTTTCTTCCTAACGCGGGTGCTCAGACGGTAGATCTATATGCCGCCATCTGGATCACGAAGAAGTCGAGGAGAAGAGGATACAGAGGTAGGAATACGTGTGTATCGTGCGACGAACCAGAAGAATCGTCACTTCCTCGCTCGAAATCCAACAACTTTCTATTTTGAAGGATCCTCCGAAGAGCAACAAGGAAGTTTCGTTGAAGAAACTGAACGAGACACGAGGGTCGAAGAAGAACGGGAAGGGGGGCGGCCGATGCAATCAACGTAGAGGAAAAACGAGGGAAAAGGGCGGAATAGCCGGAAGTTGGATGTAAAAACGTGACAGGAGACGCGAGCGACACTTCTTCCCGTTCGTTTCCCGAGAACTTTTGGTTTTTAGTTCTTTCCTGTTTCGATTACCTGACTGGCAGAAAACCTGGACCAGACTATATATACAGACTATCATATAAGAAAGAGACCGCGAGAACAGAGTGCACGCATTCAAGGGATTGTTCGATGCTCGAGCTCTAAATCGTGTTTATGACCGCAATCGGAGCTGAACAGAGACACCGGTGAAGAAAAGATTTCGAAAATATAATCACCAAGTCCATCTGACACAGTCCCCGGCCAAGCCGGTAGCACTTTCACGCTCTCCAGTGCCCGACGATTTAATTTCTCATTTCTCTAATTAAGAATAGATACTGTATATCGATAGTTGAATATCATATTAATAATAATAGTAATTATAATGATCATGATAATAATAGTAATAATAATAATAATAATATTAATAATAATAATAATAATAATAATAATAATAATAATAATAATAATAATAATGCTGATAAATATCGTGACGTTAATAAAATATCGGATATAAAATACTTTTCGCTACATATATTAAGATTCTTGTTTCCGTAATCGACTTTTTTCTTTTTACTTCTTTATCTCTCTCCCTTTTCCCCTCGCTCGTCGCCTCGCAGGGGATCTCGAAAGAATACTAAGCACAACATTCAATATATATAATCTATAATATATAGATAATATGTATATCGTAATCGTAATAATGGGACAACTATGATAATGCGCTATAGGTTTACATGCATCTCAGCAATAGATCACTGGAAAATATTCTTCTCTTTTTCAATGAATTTCGTTTCGATAGTTAATTACTTTCTTCTCTTTTTGCTTCTAACAAACCCACCCCCGTCTTACTTCCCACCCTATTCCAACTACGGATATAATTCTACGTCGTAATTTCACGGTAATCCCCTTTTTCTTCGTACATTAATTCAATTTCATCCGCCTTTTGTCGCCTGTCTTTTCGGTCTGTCAGTAGAAAAAAAAAAGATAAAATATTATTACAGGTAATACGTCGCAATCTTATTCTCTTCGCGCTTTGCCGCAGTCTCGTATATCGATTTTTATTCTCGACACGCGTTTTCGCAGCCTTTTCGGTCTTATGTCGATCTCTCTCTGGTTAACGAGGAAACATACTGAGTTTCAACGTTACACACGACACTGTTCTTAATAGTATAATATTAATATTACAATATACATTTACATTTATATATATACTATAGAGATTTTTGAAATACTGATTCTCTAGTTTTTGGAGCGGTTGCCACGCTCGGATCGCGTCGCGTTCACGAGGAAATCATTCCTCAAATGATCACACGCACGCCATTGATGCACACGCACACCCCTATTGCCTAAAAAAACGCCTCTCCCCCTGGCGAAGAAAGGAAAGCCGTATCGTAACTCGTTGCATCTACATGAAAACTGCGCGCCCTTGTTTTCTCGCGAACACACAAGCGTTCTCTCTTTCATTGTTCTTAAAACTAGTTTTAAATAATTCATGTCTAAAACAAAAAATAGTTTTCCTTAGGATATAGAGATTATAAAATGAAAAGGTAGACGAGGATAAAAAATTAATATAAGAAAACTTGAGATTACATATATAGGAACACAAACGAACAAAATAAAAGTCGAAAAGAACGAGGATCGATATGCACGAGATTTCGACGATCCATCGAAGAATCATTGTTTCCAGAATTCACAATGTTTTTCTGTTTCACCATGTTTAACCCTTTCGACATTCCCCCGCGATCGTCCTCGTTCGATCGTCTCTACGCCAATCTGAATCTGTTTACGTGTGTTCGTTATTCTTCATCCTTCGTTTATCTTTCCTTTACCGACAGATAATTGCAAAGCCCAGTGACTGCTCTTTGTATCTGTCCGTTTCTGAAGAACATAATTTGTTCACATTATAATTACGTGACTATATTCTATTTGCATCTAGCTTCCATATAACATCTTTAATAACTTCGTAGCCATAGTTCGCAACAATATCAACTTGTAGCAAATTGACCAACTTAAATTTATTCATATTGGACAAGACTCGCTGGGAATAAACGAACACTCTCTAATCTACCACTGAATCTAATCTTTGCGTATAACAATTATTTCCTTTACTCGCAGCGCAATACATACGGTAACAAAAATAAATTATAATTTGTGCAAACGCGCGCAAACAGATTTGACATGAACGCACGACGAACGGAGTCGCTGTGGAAACTGAAATGGCTACGCCCGCTACGTGATATCTCGATGGATCGACGGTGATGCGCGCGTGCAACGATTGCGAACGCAGTAAACTGAGCACAGCTACGCTTTCGTTCGTCCTTTACGACAATTAAGTAGACCAGTAAGTAGTTCGGATAAGTAATTGTGCGGTGGCACGTTCGAGAACTCGAGTGCGATATGATCGACGTACTACCGCGCCATTTATATCGATCCATATAGAATAATACAGTGAGCTGCGCGTCTTCGTATCCTCGAACGTGCATCCTTTCTGTTTTTATTCCTCTCCGCGATAATACAAACGCGTGTATATAGTATCTATAATACATAATATATATATAATATATTAGATATATTCGAACGATCTCACTCATATCCAATCACTATCCATCGTTGATCGACAGCTTGCACAGCGCACGAAGGGAGATGAAAAAGATGGAGAACGATCGAAAACGAGGCAATAACCAGGTTAGAGCGCAATAGAAGAATATAAAGGAAAATAGAAGAAGAAAGTGTCGCAGCGACGAAGTTTGGTTTTCGCGAGGAAAAATTCAGTACGTTATGTAACTGAGAGTAGAATCTCTATCGGCTGCGATTGATCGATAGTAGTTGTTCTAAAGGGATAAAACAATCTTTAAACAGCGTTTCAACTAAACGGCAAACAAAAAATATAATTCCGTGCCAAGCTTTAAACCGATCCAGCGAACCACTATGCGCAAGTACAGAAATAGATGTGAAATATATGCATACATACTATATATAGACCAATAATAATAATGATTTCAATGATAATAATAATAATATAATTAATAATAATTAATAATCAAATATATAGCTATTTAATAGAATATAATAATATAGTAAATACGGACAAATTAAGCAACAACGATCATCTATTTTTCTTTCTCTCTCTCTCTCTTTCTTTCACTCTCTTTCTCTCTGTTTCTATAATATTTATATATATATATTATATATATATATTATATATATATATATTTATATATATATATATACGTCTCGATATACCTATAATTAATTTATAATCCGTTTTCATCCGCCTTCATCGAAGTTTTTTTTTCTCCTCAGTGGCTAGATTTCCTTATTACTCTGTCATCTATTAACGTTTATTTAATCTCCCTTACGTTTAGTTATTATTCTTTGAGATATGTATCGTCGTGTGGGTGTACGTGTTCTCTCTCTCTCTCTCTCTCTCTCTCTCTCTCTCTCTCGCAATTGCTCGATACTCGCGTCGTTTCACCCTTTCTCCGCGTCAATTCGAACCTTATTCCGTTGAACAACCATCTTTCTGAAAGCGTCTCTATCTTGCCAGAGCTGTTTTCCTATCTCGCACCGAAATTCTCCTTTGATCGCTACAACTCCGGGAAAAACCGACGATTCCGGATCCTTCCTAGTAGTTCTCGTATCTCATTTTCGCCATCGTCATATCGTCCCCCGTTATCGTTTCACCAAATCCCCCCCGGTTTCCTCGTCGTCTCGTTCCTCGAAACCGAAATTCTCGCGTTTATCTCGACATGGCGACCCAATCGCGTGTATCCGTTTCATTAACGTGTTCGTGTGTGTTCGTACGTGTAGATGTGTTCGTGCGTGTGTGTGTGTGCGTGCGTGTGTACGGTGTGAGCACGTGTCCGCGCACAGTACTGGTATTCTCACGACACGGCGACGGTGAGATCGCCGACGTCTGTGTTCGCAGACCCGTTTAAAACAACTTCCCGTCTTATTTCTCTCGTCTTTGTTTCTTTTTTTTTCTTTTTTTTTTACGAAAATGGCAGTTATCGGTCACAGCCAATGGCTATATCAATAATCATTATACGTTACGCTTTAATACGATTATTACGATATTAGTTAACCTTAGACGACGTTTTATTACTCGTTACGTTAAAACGCGGTAAATGCCTCCTACAAAGAACGCGCTACAAAGAATACACAGCATGCCCTGTCACTCAGATCGCGGCGAAGTCGCCACGAGGGTTTACCAGCGTTGCGTTCGAAGGGACAACGCCACGATTTCCTGCTTTATCGATTTCCACGGGAAGCAAGAAGGTTGTAAATCGTGAAATGGTCGCGTGATCCGTCTTTGAACGAGAGATACACACCGCGAGCAACGATCCACCGACAAGTTTGATATTCCTGAATGTGTCTCTGTCCGTGATCCATCACGATTTGGTGCCGATGAAATGTGTCAGACTGGTCGCGTTTTATCGATCTGATAAAACCACTTCCATAGAAGGAAAGCGGCGGCGCCCCGGGACGGTCGTAAACTGTCGGTAGCGAAGTTGAAAAACAGCAACAGAGATCATACGACGATTGGTCCGCGAGAGATTACGCAACGTCGCGATTAGACGTTTTTACTCGCGAGAAACGCGGAAACGAACACGCGAGAAGAGAAAAAAGGAGTAAAGTAAAGAAAAATCGTATGAAGTAAACGAACTTTTTAAGAATACGGTTAACAAAACGACTAATAATGTTCCATTTCGATTTTAGTAAATTTTGTCGCTTTTTCTGTTTGTTAACTCGATAAAAAAATAATATTTCATTAGCTCCACATAAGACAACGACAAACAGAATAAATAACAATAAAATAACACGTCACACGCGATATTTATAAAAAAATATATATACTGTATATATATATATATATATATCACTCTTCTAATGGCATTTACGTAATTTACTCATAATAATTCTTTCAAAACCGCATAAACAACTTAAAAACGCGTAAAATAGAATTAAGGTCGAATTAGGAAAATAAACAGGGGAACATAATCACACCGCAAGTGTACAATACTTTGTACGTCTGACACATCATTGACTAATATCACTGAAAACGATTCGACGTTAAGTGAAAAAGGAACTGCGGGGCCAGACAATGTCCGTGTTTCGCGTCTCGCGGAGAAAGAACACCCCGGAAAAATGCTACGCGATCATTTTCATCATTCTGCTTCCAAACTATCCCACTTCAACCGATTAATAAGAAGATCGGGCGGTCTCTCCTCCTGCTGAACGACTCATCGAAGAAACGATTGATTGGCGCGTGCGGTGGGTGAGTCGCGTGGAAAAAAATGCCCGGATAAGAATGAACACCATCGCTAAACTAATCTTCCCATCGTAGAACAACATAGCAGCTAGTCGAAATCGACATTTATTGGTAGAAGAACATAGCGAACAACTTTTGATTCACGTATGGCACTGCAAATCTCGCTACCCTTCTGGTCTAGCGTCTGATCGATACTCTATAATCGATGGTACACGGTCAAGGAGGAAGATTAACGTACAACCTCGATTAGCGAAAAGCTGTCTCCTTGAGAACAAAAACGGCAATCGTCACCCTTAGCACGCGGCTCGACGCAACGGAAGAACGAATCGACTCGTCGCGATCCCTTCTGCTCTAACTTTGGATCGACTCGACGAACGTTAGCGAAAGTGGCTGGAGATGATGGCAAACGCATTGCCACGAATGATGTGCTTGTTCGTCCGCTGAAACGAACGAAAGTGGAGACAGCGATGGTCGCGACGGCGTTATCGGTGGGTAATAAATGCGAAATTGGAGCGAGAACACGAAACAACGTGTACGCGTGCGCCGTGAACGTTGCAAAGCAGCGCACGTCACACGTGCAGTGACCTATCTGACGAAGATGACGATCGTGAGGAACGATGACGCCGACTCTGCCGCGATATGTCGGAACCTCGGCCAAAGTGAAGGCTGCCTGACGCGTCGGTGAATCGGTTAAGTGTTATCTAGCAGTAGTCGTCCTAAAGTCTAGCGGAGGTTCTCGACAAATTGTTACTCGTTTGTTCGTGATATAGTCTTGCCGCGGAACCCGGCACACTAAACACACAGAGCTGTATCGTCTTCCGGAATCGCGCGTCGGGAGAAGGGAAGACTGCGTAACGGCAAGCGCGGGCGCGATCTACGTGCGGTCAGCAAGGCTACCTCTGTCAGTTATACGTATGAAACCGCAACTTTCCCAGTGGATCATTCGTGGTACATTGGGAAGACGGCCCTGAGTGAACCGAGTTTCGCTGCACATCGACGCCGTCGAACACGCGCCTCGAAGAGAGCCACGGCTATGAATATTATCGTTGACAAATTGCTTTAATTCTACTACACTTTTCATGCAGACATTTCGTTCTGACGCATGTCGAGGTTGTTTCGCGAGTACAACGAGACGCGCTTCGAATTTTGGCAACCACCCACTGTTATTCCTTTCCACCACCCTTGACATCTCTCGATTTATCTCGCGAGACGTTTTCGGTTTCACCCGTTCTTTCTCCACGTTCGAGCAAGTACCAGCAGTTTTGCCGAGCAAATACCAACACAACCACACAGAGTCCAGCAACGTATTCTCGTCCGTCCGTTCCGCGATCGTCGATAGTCCCCGTCTTTTCTCTAGCGCGCGACAAGAACTGCGGCGCGATATTCGAAAATTCCGTCAAAGAAGAAGAAACAAGAAAAAACGCAAGAAGAGCGAAAACTCGCGCCTGTATCTTTTTCGCCTTCATTTTCTTTCCCTTTTTCACTTTTCCTCTCGTACTTTCCCTTCCCCTTCACCCATTCTCACCCCTTTCTCTGATCTCGAATTGCGAGAATCAGATCAGACTTTATGCAGCGAAGTTAATGACAGTTTATCTGGCATGATCTACATATGCATGTACAAGCACGCCGACCGTCTTTCTCCTTTTTCGTCATCTTTTTTGTTTTTTTGTTCCTTTATATTATACTCTGCGCGGCGGCGTCCCCGTATATCGGAACGTAGATGCTAAAGAGAATACCTATAAATATAGTTTATATGTATATATATAGAATATAATATAATAATATAATATAATATAATATAATAATAATAATAATAATATATATAATATAATAATATAATATATGTTTATGTCATCACCGTATCTTTTACACTTCTTTTCGTTTTCTCTTGCTGTTACCATTCACCCCTTTTCATTCATTCTCACAATCTCTCTAATTTATACTTAACATAGAAAAAATATAGAATTTATTTGCCTCGAACTTAAATATAATAAACCTCTCTCTCTCTCTCCCTCTCTCTCTCTCGAGTGTTGATTATAATATACATATGTATATATATAAGACTTTATTTTCGCGTGTGTTTGATCTATGTGTGTTATATGTGTGTTTATATGTGTTATGTTAGTGCACGTCAGATTACGTCCGCGTGTGTGTATGTTCTTTGAACGTGTATGTACATGTGTACAAGTGTATGGATGTGTGTAAACGTACATTTAGAAGGATTTCATGCGTCTACGCGTGAACTCGTCATTCATATGTGACAGGATGAGTGATGTCCTGCGGAGCAACAAATAATAATATTGTACATACATATCTAATATACATTGGCGCTAAAATGTAGCGCGATTCTGTATGAAAGCTGAGTGTGAACTTGTTCGTAGGGAGTGTATGTATGCCCGTGTGAAAGTGTGTACCTAATGCTTGTGTCTATTTCGATTAACCGGTAGCTCGCGAAGAGAACGCGTTTTTTTGACAAGAAGGAAGAGTTTTCTCTTCTTTATTATTTCCTTTTGTACGAAAAGAACACGGGTAAAGGGGATGGTTTTTGGACATCAGGGTTTGCTAGGACGGGGTCGTTCAAAACGAAACGCATAATGAACAAAGATATCTGCTGAACGATTAAAAAAGGACATTACAAAATAAAAATAATAATAATCAATATTATAAAATAAAAAACGAAGGGAGCGAGTCTAGGTGAGAAACTACCGAGGCACCGGCTATACAGAGCTGCAGCTCGAACGACCGAAAAAATATCCTCTTTCTATTCGAACATCCGACAACATTGGATGACGTACATTATATATAATATATATATTTTATATGTAATATGTATTAATAATATACCTCGACTTGTTCGGAGCTGCGCTTTGAGCATATCTTTGTTTAAAAATGGCAACGATTGACAAGAAGTTTCCGACGATTTGAAGATAGAAGGAAAACAGAAAAGGAAAAGGAGAAGAACAGCTTCGCGCAGCAGTTGCAGTAACAGACAACGAGGAAGAATCACGTGAATGTGAAAGAACTAGAGGAAAATAGAACGGGCGATAGTATTCGACATCGAAGTCAGCATAAATATAAAATAGGAGTCAAAAAAGGGGAAGTAGTTTCGTCCCTCGGTTTTTTTCTACTTTTAATATCAGGAAAAAAGAAAAAAGAAGCAGGCCAACGCGTTCATCGCGTTCTTCAGCCGATAAAGACCATTCGTCCAGCTTTCTTTCCCTTTTGAAATACGATTACACGAACAAACAACGAGTAACACTGTTCCTCGTTGAAAGAAGAAGAAAAAAAAAGGAAGAAAGTGAATTATAACACAGCGGGACGTAAAGACACGTACCGGCCACCCTCTCGTTCGTGTTGAACGACGAGTATCGCAATTTCCTTGTCCCAAACGTGCACGCTGGTGGCACATCCAGGAAATTGCGACAATCGTTTGTAAGGATGTCCGCGAGGAAGAACGAGGAAAAGAGATACCGTGAAATAGAAGAACTAAAAATGCAAGTTCGTCCTTCCTCTAGTAGAATGACACATACTAATAGCATCCGATATATATCCATACGATAGAATAATACAATATGTAATGATATAATCACGACTTGTCGAAAGAAAAGCTAAATATACACTGGTCGTCGATCCCCACAACAAAAACTACATCAAGTTATTACAAGATACAAGTTATTACTCGGATTATTCCGTAGGGCTCGAAGAATACGCTCCTAGGAATCGATCGACGGCATTATTTCTTTTTTTCTCCTTTCTTTCTTTCTTTTCTTTCCCTTGTTCTCGTACCTTTCAGCAATCAGGGAGAAGTTGGTTCACGCGTTCCCGCGATGCACCGTATAATCTTAAAACATTTTGTTTCCCCTTAAGCGCTGTCTCCTTTTTCCTTTTTCTCTATTTTTCGATTTTTTTTTCTTTAGGTCTGTTTCTTTTTTTTGCCTTCGCTCTTTTTTATTTTCTTTTTCTTATAGAACTCTTAATAATAATTTTCATTTATTTTGTCGCCTGGCGTGTGTAGCTGTCCCCGACCACCCGTAGGTCCCGTCGACGAAACGCGCGAAAAATACAAAATCTAAATCTCCTCGATAAAATATCATCCTTCTTACTTGTCAGCCTTTTCTTTCCTGACATCATATATATATATGTATATATATATTATATATAATATATTTATTTATGTTTTTTTATATTTATAATATATTATTATTATTATTATTTCAATTGCTATGTCGCTTATATAAATGTAAGATATAATACTCTAGTAGCGAGGGAACCTGGGTGAGACGGGCACGCCGTTTTTAATAATACTATCATCTAAGTAATTTTGCGGCAAATCGAGGGACACGTGACCACTCACCCTGTATATTCTTTTTTTTTTTAAATCTTTCTTTAGTGCGACGAGTGCTTGTTATATATAATGATGAGATCGGCTGTATGTCTGTAATATGTGTACGTGTAATGTGTATGTATAGGTATGAGTGAGCGTGTACTAGGTTATAAGTTACGTCAAATATGGGCAATTTTTTTTTCGGTGATCGTTCGCTGCGATTATGTACGACGAGCTCGCAGGTCTCGAAAGTCCTCGTATGTCGATACATCTACCGATAGAGTCGCTTTCGTGAAAAGTTTTCACTTGTCATGAGATAGGAAGAGTGACGAGATAATAAATATTTCAAGGATATTTTATTCGTTACGATTGCTCGATTAATCCCATAAATTATTAGCTGAGAAACTTCGAAAGCTGAACTATCGAAAGATGCACGACCATCCTCTATATCCCTTTCCATTTTGACACTGTCCTCGATTTAAATCGTTTGATTGATTACCATCAAACACACCTTGCAACCACGTGACAAAATTATACTCGATTCGTCATGGAAACTTTTACAAAACATACAAAAGCATTTTTAACATGTTCTTTGAGATTCACATTGCCTGTTCGTTTAGTTATAAGGGAGAATAATAATAAAGGATCTTCTTACGCACCTTCCTTTTTTTTTTCCTTTTTTTTTTCAAAATCATCTCGTTTTTATATTATCAGCTGTTCTTACGTCTCCATCTTTGAACTAGCAGTCACGTGACCGCAAAAGACGCGAAGAGCGTAGCGATCGAGAGAGCGAATGAACACCACCGCAACTGCGCTTTTGGCTATTCAAAAGCCAAATCATGGCTGATGGAAATCGAAACTCGTAATTTCCATAAAACGTTCAGAACGATAAATAGGACGTTTACGATGATTGGTACGCTTCCTAAATAAAAATATAGAATTCGTAAAAACTTTATTTCTCAGTGTTTGCAAGCACCTTTGATATAGTGTTTTATAATGTTTCGCGGAGAATAACGCAATGGCAATTACGGTTTCAATCGTTCCATGCATCGATACGTGAAAGAAGGACAACATACAAAAATATTCAAAAACTATGAATGTTTCGTTCTCGCACGTATTACCGAAGAGTGCTGACTCTCGTTCGTGGATTGTCAATTATATAAAAAAATAACGTCTACGCTAATTAAAATGTTGTCGATGGAGATTCGATTGATTCGATTAATTCGTTCCATTCCATTATCTAGACTGCCTTCGATTCGAAAAGAATTTGTAGAAAAATACGAGAATATACCGTGACGTGAATACAATCAGCGAATGGAATGTTATTGCAATCGATATGAAACGCACTACCTTCAATACTAATTCGTATTTTATCCGAGCAAAGTAACATCTCGGTGGTCAACAGTCTCGTTACTACGAAGGTATCGAACCGTGCGCGTCAAACTTTTTCCCGATAGTTCGAAGGCAACCCCATAAGCGGCAAAGCCAAACGAATCGTCCTTCTTTCACGTAACAGAAACATGTGACGTCCACCATGATACGAACACAGAGAACCGAGTGTGTCACTCATTGCTCTCAATCACGCGTCAGCTCCGACGCCATTCATTCGACGTGTTGATCTTGTGCATAAACCTGCGAGCCAGGATATCTACTACACTTTACGTTATATACCGAGGGTAAAAGTATGAAAACGATGACAATGAATGAGCGAGTATGTTATCTTTCTTTTTAATCTCTCTTTCTCTCCCTCTCTCTCTTTCTATATATTCTTGTAGAACTTAAAAGCTGACTTCGTTGTATTCGGTCGGCGGGAACGACGCGACAAGTTAGCATTTATATCAGGGCATTCCCGACGCGTAGAAGAGATTATTGGCAGCAGTGGAATTGAGACATTGTGCGCGTCCGCTCCCCCGTTGTCGACGCGAAATCTCACGGCCGTAGTCGTAACGAACGGGGGAACACGAGGCTTTTAATATACGGAAAAATACGGGGTGGGCGTTCTCCAGCGCCGTCGTTCCTGGATGAGCCGCCAAAAATTGAAGAGCAGATGTTTGTTAATGGTGAGAATCGGTGTTACAGCCGCTGTACCAGGAGTCTGTAGTATCTCTGCTGGCTTTGATCGGTGCTTAAGAGAAGATGCGTAGCGCTTGTAAGACGGGCCTGGAGCAGATGGGGCAACTAGGATCCGAACTCTCGCAGACCCGGTTGCCGCAGTCCAGGCAAAAATGATTGTGTCCGCATGGTACGAGAGCAGCGGTGACCTCCTTGTCGCCGCACACCACGCATTCTCGTCGTCCACCGCCTAACAGTGAATCCGTAGGTGACGTCGGACTCGCTGATGCCGGCGGTGATGGCCTCGAGGGCAACGGAACGCCCGGGAACGACCAAATCGAAGAGGCGGACGCTGTCTGGGACTCGAACGATGGCGACTCGCCTAGTCCTTCGTCCCTTTCCATACCGGCTCCCCAAATCGCCACCAGATCATTTAACCCAGGTGCACCGGAACTACTAGACGAGCTGCTGCAACTTCCGCTGCTGGAAAATGCTCCGCTTGATCCGTTCGAACCGTTCGAGCCTGGTGGATCGAGGCAACCAAGGATCGAGCCCAAGCCACCGCGACAGAGCACGCTTAGCAGTTCCGAATCGTCGAGGGTCGTTCCTGTGCCGGTTCTAAGTGCTATGTGTGCCTCGATCTCGCGTCTCGCAGCCTCCACGCTTTCGGGTAGTCCGGTCACCTCGAACACAGGCTCCTTGTCACGACTGGGCGTTACTATGTAGGTATGCGTTTGATGCTGGATTCTCTTGATGGTCGCGCCTTTCGGTCCTACCACCAGGCCCACTACTCTGTACGGGACTCGTACCTGAATCGTCACGTGGCCTGGTACGGACGCTGGTGGTCCAGGAGGTGCGCCCAACAACGCGCCCAACGAGCTCTTGCGCGACGCGCGGATCTGAGAGAAATGCTCCGCGGCTGACAGGATCTCGCGCTTTGCACGCGCCACATCCTCCTTACGTCCGGTTACGACGAACACCGGCTCCTCGCCACGCACAGGGGTCTTGATGTAAGTGTTGGTCTTCGCCCGCAGTGCTTTGATTTTACAACCTGCAATCAAACCAGAAACGATCGTTTAGTTACAAGTTTCTTGGAAACCAACGCACGAAATTAAGTTTTCATCGTGTTTTTCTAAGAACGCTATTATATCGAAATGCTAAACGTAATCGACCTTCTCTCCTTCTCTTTTCTTAATTAATTTTATACGCGTATCATATGAATATAGCAAGTCTTATGAATATCGAAATTTAAAGACTATCGTCCTTTCTCACTTCAAGATAAATAGCATTAGTACAAATATGTATGATTTATCTACATATCCTGCAAGTCATTCTTACGAGTCCATCCTTTAAGATGAATCCTTTCCATTCACAAAACTACAACCACCTATAAAACGCAATTATACGCCGATATAAATCAAACAAATGACCAGAAGAATCATTAATCAGCAAGGGAATTGCACCTCGCCAAGACGTGCGTCCCAAGTACATATATCTTAATTCGCTCGTACCAACAACCAAGTCATCGAATTATCCTCACGACCTACGCCTCCTCCCATCTCTACCAAATCAACCGAGAGTCTGAAAAAACTGCATCCTTCCAAGTACACGTAGCTCGCGAGCCTACGACTGATCGCAGTTCTACGGAAGGTGCTTGACGGTGTCGGTGCTCCGTCGGAGGAGCAGACTCTTTGTCATGACGCAATTGTCTGTACGCGGGGAACAACAGACGCATAGCGAGATCTGCGCGTGGTACGAAAAAGGAGAAGCTGTAAGAGAGCGGTGGGATGCCATGTGGAGAGAAGGAAGAAAACGACGGCGGAGAGGCAGAGAGAGGGCAGGGTGCAGGAAACTGGAAGGAAGGAGGTCCCGACCCGGTCTGGTCCTCGGTCTCGCAGACTCTCTGGCCTTGAGCCGGCGCAATGCTAGCAATGCAGGTGAACCACTCCTCTCCCTTTCCTTCTTTCGCGCTCGGCCACCTTCTGCGTTCCGTCTCCTTCCCAGCGTCCAACCTTTCTCCTTCCCGCGGCTATCCTTCGCTGTCTTCGCATCCTCCTCTCCCTTTCTCTCTCTTTCACCAACCTCCCTTTCATTCAGTTCACTCTCTCCTTCGGCGCACCAACGAACGCGCGACACACGCGGAGCTCCCCGCCCCCGGCTTCGCATACCTTTGCCTCCTTCCTATCCGTTTCTCCGCCATCCGAACGATTCCACGTTCATTAGAGAGCATTTTAATTGCGTTTATCGAACGGTCGCCATCGTAAATCACACGACGTTTCTGAACTTGAATCGTACAGGAAAGTTGGATTCTTTCAGGTGGAAATTGGACACGCGATAGATTCGAATACGATCGAGTGTAATCCGGATAGGTTGTTGGGACGGTACACTATATACGTATACCGTGAACTGGAATTAGTACATTGGGAAGAGTAATACAATTTTGTAACTTTCACAATAGAAATTTCGTGGACGTACAGCAATGTTTTTTTGAAGATTCGAATGATTTCTTGCGAAATATATGGACAAAAAGATGGTTCTCTATGTGGATCGTATGTTTTTTTCGTATAACTTCCATTCTGATATTGAAGTGCCAAAGCGATCGATGCTTATGTTATATAATTTCATCGATTTTTCCTACTTTTCGTTTTGCGCAGATTTAGCAAATAAGCGGCTTATATAATAATTATCGTAAGAAAGTCAATCAAAATGATCGACCGAACGAGCCACGTATAAATATCACGAAACGGACTATCGATCGTAGCTTTCCACAAAGCCAAAGGGTCATCAGATAGCGACACGCAACTCCATTTATTCGATCAAAATCGGACGACATTTTTGCCCATTGAGTAACGTACCAGAAAGGGAAAGAAAACACTGACTGAAAACATTCTTTGGATCGTTTAGACGGTTCCCTTGCTTCACTACGCAGTCCTTGCGCGACGCGACAATGTCACGGGCGTCCACGGCTCTTCAGGGACGGCCGCTGCGGCACAATCTTGACATCGATATGGCCTTAACTGCACGCCACGACGCGGTTCGAAGCGTTTAAACGCGAGAGGAAAGGGACATAAGTTGCGACGCGAGGTCGTCTCGGGGGCGCGAGCGTAATTGCGACCATAACCAGAGATAGGGTCGTTCTCATCCGCGGTATTCTCCTAAATTCGGGAAATTTATCGTGGAAAAGTACCGTGTTCTCTTCGTTCATGTTCAGCTTTATTTTGTTCGTTCTCGACCGACTTTTTATAAAATTCCTTAGATTTTAGAAACCTAAGAATTACCATTTTATTCTACAGATTTTCTTATCCTAATTCGTTACTAGGATTCCTAATCTCTCGGGTGTAATCATTTCTTTTATCTATGTATAGAAGTTACAAATAAATCGCATCGTAACTATATTTGCAAAGATTGCAGTCGATCTAACTGGCATTAATTTGTTTCTGTTAATTTTGAATGCAATAATCCTAGAGGATTTTCGTCAACAAATGACTCGTTTAATCGATTGAAACATAAAAAATCCTTCTTTCGTTGGAAAACGAAATTGAGATTAACAAAGAAGGTGGAACGAGTATACAGCCGGAATTTTTACCGTGAGTGTCGTTAGTCACGCAGACATAACGCTATTATTGTACTATAGAAACTGCGTAATAATAGACGACCAAGGAATTGATCACGTTCGTTAATCAAAGCTTAAAGCAAATCTTTTTCCCAACGATTTTAGATTTTGCGCACATGCACGCACTAGTCTTGAGTCACCAAGTGAAAAGTGTGTGACGGTTAAACGGAAAAATATTTGAAGAAAGTAAGGAGAAACGCGTCCACGCATGTCCTCGAATCGCTAGGGTAAATCCTGTTTCAGTTTCATCGATCACGCTTTATTTTCGGAACCCATTGTACCCAACCTTCTCTTCTGTCTCGTTTCTTCCTTCCAGCCGGTTTACCTTCGACGATTATATTCATTCAACGGTTACCCACGTTCCCGCTCCTCCACCCCTTTCACAGTTTTTCTCTCAACCGCTGAATCTCCATATACGAGACACACCACTGTAAGGTTTGTGGTTCTTTGAAACCCTTCCCCGGCGCATGCAGGTCCGATTTCGATAAACTCGCGGGACCGCGAAGGATGCGTCGCGTTAACACGCCGCAGAACTTTCAAGAGACCTTGAAGAAACACGGGCAAAAGTAGCGCCCAATGGGAGGAAATTACAACGTTGCCCGCGTCTCATTACCAAACCAATTTAGTCTGCCGTTTGAAGAACGAGAAGCTGACAAACGAAAATTGTGTTCTTTCGTTCGAAATTTCCGCGACCAAAAATTACGCGACTATATATTCGTCCCACTTTCTTCGTTAACGCCATAAATTCTCGCTCAAGGATTCGATATAGCGTCGCCAGCGCGTATTTCATTTTGAGATCAGTGCGTTTGCCAAAAGTATGCAATTCCTCTGTTGGTAGCTAAACGAGGTTACGATCTTCGATTAAATCGGAATGTTCTACGATCGAGAACTCGTATTCTGAAAGGCTGAAACGCGAACACCGGATAACACTCGTGTGACTATTGAGTTGAAAAACGGTGGAAAAGAGGAGGGAGGTATATGGAGGGCAATTTTCATGAAAATTCTCACAATCGAAGTTGGAATCGTGCGATATCGCATGCCAATGACTAGGTGCACTGGCCAGAACGTGTAGTAGCGATAAAACGCTGCGGGGGAAAGTCGGTCGTAATTCTAGCTGGCAAATTGTTAAGACGAGCTGGCCACGGCACAAGGGTAACCATTATTATCCGTAATCTGAAGAGGCATAAATTTGCCCAAGGATACAACGGCGAGATGCCTCCCGGCCGGCCGTGGGGTAGACGAGAAGAAAGACGTAGAAATCGAGGGGAATAAAAATTAGAGGGCTGACTAGTCTGCGGAGAACCGTTCTGTATCGGTGCTTCATCAGACTTATAAAAATAACGCTTGATAGGATTTTGATTGAACGAAGAATTTGTTTCGCTAACCATTATAAGACTCTTAATTAAATAGACTATGCTTTGTAGATTATATATATATATATATATATATATATATATATATATATATATATATATATATATATATATATATATATATATATATATATATATATATATATATATATATATATATATATATATATATATATATATATATATATATATATATATATATATATATATATATATATATATATATATATATATATATATATATATATATATATATATATATATATATATATATATATATATATATATATATATATATATATATATATATATATATATATATATATATATATATATATATATATATATATATATATATATATATATATATATATATATATATATATATATATATATATATATATATATATATATATATATATATATATATATATATATATATATATTTTGTAGATTATATATATATATATATATATATATATATATATATATAGCTATATCTATGTGAATTTAAGAAATAAAAAATTTTAATTAAATTAATATATATAATATACCATAAATGTAGTTTATAAAGATATTTATGGAAATTTAATTTGACAGATTTGATTAATTTTTTAAATCGTCGCCGTTGAATTTTGCTTCTTCTTAATATTCCCATTAATAATAATTTTAGTATTAATAAATTCTCTATGCCAATCAAATATTGAATATTCCTCGTCATTTTAATCTTTTGACGAAGTTCCAAAATTGTACGTTTTCCTTAATTAAAATTCAATTACTAATAATAGATTTAAACCGTGCAAGTGTTCGAACGCACCAAATCGCAAGATGCTATAAAACACGACAGCGAATCGCGTAATAAACCTATCGGTTACCGTTAATTGACCATAAGCTAGGCAATATAATTTGTCCAACTACTGAATAATGTATACGGATTCAGGAATGTCAAAGAGGAACGCTCGTCCCAGTGAGTTAATAACATGTCTCGGAACGGCGCATTATAAAGTTCAACTAAATGCATAATGCGATCGAGTGCAAGCATATATCCACACATTTTCATATTTT